CTATGTTATGGTTTGTTATAGTTATGAATTATTTACCAATAATTTTTGCAGCAGTAAGGTTTTTACAATAAATTTTGCAACAATGATTTTAGGTGTTTTGTCTTTATAGAAAACTAACCAGAGAGCTTATCTCCCCTTGAGGCAATATTCTTTATCATTTCTTTAGACAGTTTTTGGTTCAGGGGAAGCTTCTATGGTATAGAGCAAATATGGTAAGGCAGGAGAAAAGTATAAAATTTGTCAAGAAAACGCCATTTTCCTCCTGGTTCTTTTTTAAGTACATTCAAAGCTCAACCTGGTATTAATGTAACATGTTCTATGAGATCAAGGGCAACTTTGAGTAAAACTGATAAAATCTAAGGCACTAATGTTCTTTATTTCCTCCTTCTCTTTAATTTTCCCTCTTCTGATTTTTTTCTTCCTTATTTATATCCTTCCTTCTGCATGCCGTTATTCCTTTCCTTATTTCTCCGTTATTTCCTTACTACTGTCTTCTTTTCTTAAAAAAAAAAAAAGATCTACATGACAAAGGCATATACTGTAAGAGTATTATTATAGAATACTACAAGAAAAATAAGACCTAAAACAATAAGGGACCCAGGCATCATAGTGTATGTCTGTAATTCGAGCTACTCTGGATACGGAGGCAGGAGGATCAGGAGTTCAAGGCCAACTTGAACTAAGTTAGCAGTGAAACCCTTTCTCAAAAACAAAATAGAGACAAAACTGCTGGGAATGTAGTTCAAGAGGTAGAGTACTTGCCTGGTATGCACAAGGACTTCAAACTCCAGCATGAGAGAGAGAGAGGGAGAGAGAGATAGGGGAATTTACCTCCAAAATTCTGGAAAATTCATGTAAAAGGGAAATGTTTCATTATGGAATAGCATAAATGCTACCAATTTTATAAGGAGAGAGGTTTTACCTGACACTAAACTCTAAAAGAAATCTCACAGGTATATCCTTATTAGGTAAAAGTGTGCTAGGAAAATATGTGGACTGAGAACACTTCATAACAAATGTGGCCTCCTACTTAAAAATAAAGAAAAAAAATCTCTTATAGCAGACATAGTGACAAAATAGAAGTAGATTATGTATTGTAAGAACTTTTGTAAATGTCACAATGTACCCCAAGTACAACAATATGACAATACAAATTTTTTTAAAGAAAATTTTGCTAAGATACCTTAAGCCAAAAGATTTAACATTATAAAATTACAATTAAATCATTAATAGCTTAGATACCACCAATTTGGAATTTCTGAGTCTTGGGATTGAGACTAATTCCTAAAATTGGGTGGTGTGTTTGAAAATAATAGCTCATTATTAAAAATTATTTTAAAAATTTTCTCTTTCTATATTTTGTATTGGCTTTAGTTTTCTGTTCTCTGAGTTTTGTAGCAGCTTTTTATTTTTGTTATTCTTTTTCTGTAGATATGACTACATTTTGAGATTCTGCCATGTGTGCATATTAGTTGACATACTGAGTTTAGAGTCTAATCAGAACTGGTTTCCATACATAAAAATTTTGTTGAAAACTTTCCTAAGTTCACATGCCAATTATACTACATTTCTGAAGAAAAAAAAAGTTAAAGTAGATCAAGTACCAGACCCTCGAATCCAGCCAGGGTGGTCTAGATCAGTGTTTCTCAGATGTGATTTTAAGACCAACCCTGCAGCACTGAATCCGTAGGACGCATTTATACAAATGCAAATTCTGGGACACTAGATAGACCCTCCATTGTTCAAAGCACCCAACATGTTATCTATAGAGAGCCTCTCTCCGTGACAATCTTCAAGTACCATTTCTCCCACCCATATTTTTGGTGAAGTTGCCAGCAGTTTATTTCCTTCTAAACATCATTTTATCTGTAAGATAACGAGGGCACTGACCAGCCTGACCCATCGATTTCTCTCCTGTTCTTAATATAGTAGCTTCCACAAGGAGGAAATTGATTAGCTTAAGATAACTTTTCTATTAACATGTCTTTACCTGTATACAAATGTCACAAACTTTTAAGAGCTAGAGTCAGAAAATTTAAAATTAATTAAGCTTACCTGTTGGGTAAGAGCTATCATAGGCTAGGTGAGTGGTAGGTAGATTGCTGTAAATGTGGTAAATGAATATACGGTTGTAGTTGAAGTGTGTCCAGTTCAGTGGTGGTTTTTATATAACTGCTCACATGCTGCGACTCTCCCAGAGGAATGATTTGCTATCGAATCCTTTCCATTCACTATTCTGTAAATATTTTTGCCTATACAAATGCTCTGCCCTGTCTTCTGTCCTGGCAAATCAATCTCCTTCTTTCCTCAATCTGAAAAGATAGCTCCATCCTTCACCAAAAGCATTTTTAGGTTAATCCCACCTGACTCTATTCATTACTTAAACCTTTTGGGGTGTGAAATGAGCTACAGTGCCTGGCTGTAGTATTTGCAGTAGGCATTATTATTCCTTTTAGCTTTAGTATGACCACAGGCTTAAACTACCCTTCCTAAGCTCCTGCTTCAGGGAAGAATTCTTATCACAGCAAATATAGTCTGAGTAATGAGACAAAGGAGAAGAAATCTAAGCAGGGCCTCAAAAGAGAGGCAAAAGATTTAATACCATGCAAATAGCCTTGGGATATCCTGTTTTCTCTCTCTAGAATTCATTTATATTCTTACATTCCATCTATGACCTAAAAAATAATAACGGTTGCATGTGGGTGCTTCTTTTTGCACATAAATAAAGCTTTTCTCGAGTCAGGAGAGCCCTTTGAGGGTACATAACCCACAAAAATGGTAATAAAGGTTTAGAAATAAGTTACCAGAAGGGCAATAAAATGTCAACAAGGTAATGCTATGTGACGTTCTTATGTTATGCTAAATTTTCACTGATTTCAGGCAGTTATGTAAATGGGCAATGAAGTTATCTAACTCTGCAGATCTGGAAATTTTCAAAATTTAGGAAATAGACACCCTAGTTGTAATCTCTAAAAGTTATAACAATTTCTTTGCAAGAAAAGGAAACGGACACAAAAAAAAAAACCTCAGGTGCATGCTTTCTTTGTAGAACTTAATGTATTCTCTCTTAAATCAATCTGCAGTAATCCCAAGAGTTTATCTTTCAAATGTAAATGATGATTTAACATAATGTTGTTACTTTTTCAAAATTCATATTTATACGTATGTATAAAAATTATACATACATATAATAACTACTCAGGGCCTTGTGCTTGCTAGACAAGCCTTGTACTACTTGAAACTCAACCTTAGCCCTTTTGCTTTAGTTTATTTTTCTCATGTTTTTGCCCAAGGTTGGCATTGGACTGTAATCCTTCTACTTCTGCCTCTTACATAGCTGGGATTACAGGTATGAATCACCACAGTCAGTTCATTTTTTGAAGTAGGGTCTTGCTAACATTTTTCACCTGGACTGATATCAAACCTAGAAATTCCTTAACATTTTTTAAAACCAATATTCGTGTGATGAATTCTAGCAGAAGCTGTATGATGGTGAAACTCAGCATCCTCTCAGATCTGTTTTGATACACATTCTCTCTTCCATACATAGAGCGGCTTTGCTTTTGTGAAGAGCTTCATGACTTAAAGCATACATGACCTGCTGCATCCTTACTGCCCTTTGAGTTCTTCATGCCTGATTTGCTTTCAAAGCTTTAGCAAATACAGCTATATAAACAAATAAAATGGTTATTCTGGCCTCATGGAAGGGGATTCTTAATCTCCAACAATAACAATAACAAGGCTCATCTTTGCTTTGGGAAATCTACTTGGTGTTTTATTAAAGAACTAGTAATGGATTTGTGTGCTTGACTTACTTTTATGTTTATTAAATTAAAGCACAAAATGCTAATTTCTGCAACATTAGAGCTCACCTCCATTGTCCCAGACAAACATTCTCAGTTTTTTGAAGACTTTGAAATAACTAGAGGAACCCCCTTCTAACTCAGCTCTTTTCTCCTTATTGATCATTAAAGCTTTGAGTGTTCCTTGGAAATTCCATATACACAAATAACAAAGTGTCAGAGTTAGCTATAATCTGGAGAAGTCACTGAGTCTTCTTTGGAAGAGGCAGTGGGAGAGTCCATTACGCTACTTAAAAAGATAGAAAACTCATTGTCTTCCTGCTCACCAAAGAAAGCAGAATCAGGATGTCTCCAACCTAAAGGAATATTTTTATAAGACTATTAACATCTGGAATGAGTAAAAGAAAGGAAACAAGATTGAGAATTTAAAGCTAAAAATCACCAATTGAGTCTAAGGAAGAGAGTCAGTATAATTACGAGAAATCTTCAATTAAAACTCACAGTTGAGAACATGGATATGCTAGTCTTTAGCGTAGGGGATTCAATGTTTTTTGTCACATGGAAGTTTCATTTACTCTACCCTGTGGTAGCTCACTAGTTTACCCTTGCAAATTACATCCCTCACTTAGCACATTCACATGGATTTCAACTTTAGAATTAGGTTTGTTAGGCTTTGAATTGAATGTAATATCAAAAACAAAAAACATTTGGAAAGATACACATTGAAAAATCTTCTTTTCTATATAGTTCTTAACTGACATGCATTTTTTGAAAGATGAACTACACTCAACAAGAGAAAGACTTACGTTATGATGCAGCAATTCTACTAAATTTTAATTCAAATTCATCTGTTAAACTACTGGGAACTGTTGGGCAGCATAAGCAAGTCAAATGATAAATGTAATGATACTCAAATGGTACATATAATGGTCTTTGTAGAACAGTATATGGACATCTAGACAAGGACTAGAGGTACAAAACAAACTTTAAAATTGTGCTCTATGTCATTATGGATAATCTCTACTAATATGAGATGTTTGGAGATAGCAAAACACTTGAAGTTTGATATTAAAATGCTGACCTGTTTTTAATAGAATCCCATAATTTCTTTCAATCTCTATAGCTTTAAAGAACTAAAAATGTAACTTATGAGTTTTTGTTGGATTTTTCTTTTGTCTGCATATCTTCTTTTCCTAGGAGTGAAAACTCTTCAACACCAACACGCTCTACCATAGATGGACCATTTGTAAAATTAAACACAGCACCTAATGGCAGTTTAATACTAACACCCAGGTAAGTTCTAAAATCTATTACTGGACTAGGTATGCGTGAGCTGAAAAGAAAATAGTTTCTAAGCCAGCTGCATTTGAATGCTGCCAAACACTGGGCAAATAATCTTGAAAGTTATTTGATTTATTTTTTGGCAGTCTGAAGCAGTATTTCATTGATACTTTCTATTAACATTGTCTCATCCCATATATATGACAAGATAGTCAAATGAGGTATTCTAGGTATAATTGTCTAGCACGCTGATAGAGATTTGATAAATCCTAATAGTACATCTTTTATTCTTATTTTCAGAGTCACAGACCATTAAATCCCAAAGAAAGAAATTATGATATGTGGAATAAATAGGTTTAAAGTTGTTCAAATTAACAAAAGTGATACAAATTAGCTACCATAAATAGAGGAGAAAGGTGGGGGACATAGCAATCTTTGTCTTCCTTAGCAAATAGAATATGAACATTAAATGAAAATGTTGGAACTTTTAGTTTAGCCTATGTATTTTGCTTTTTAAACTTAGGTTTATGCTTATAAACATTTTTTAAAATATTGGAAAGTAAACTTCTATTCAAAGATCATTTTAATTTTAAATTATGTCATTTCTCTTGCTTGAGCATTAAGAGTAATTTTTGTTTGAAATTTGTAAAATTGGCTTCTGAATTTTAGTTTCACCAAAGGCCAGCAGGAGGTGAGAAAAAATAACTGTAAGAATAAGCCAAAATTATAGTTAAGCATTTAAGATGCTATTGTTAATATATTTTGTTTAACATACTTAATGGTAAAAAAATATAATTCAGTTACTCATGCCAAGTTAGCATTTCTGTAAACTCAACTAGTAAAACAAATTGGTAGCAGAGTATTGTTAGACCAATAAAAGCACTTGAATGTCCTATTTCGATGTTTGCTGAGCTTTGAATAATATTATGAGTCTCATCAAGGAAGAAGTAACCTATCTGCAAGTGAGAAAGTAGGCTTCCATGTCGCCTCTCTACAAGGCACACCTAAATTTATATTATCATTATAGATCTTGAAGCAGTTTGTACATTGAGAATTTCATCTGTTCACATTTTATAGACATATAAGAATTTCTAAGAAAGAAATTTAAAACCACTGAATTTAATTACATTTATGTTTCAGAACAGGATTAGGTTACTCCACACTTATTAACAAAATACCACTATCAACTTATATTGATGTCACTATTTCAAGTATGTTCATTATACTCGAAACAGACACCATTTGTAAGTGTACTATAATCTTCCATCAAACCCATAAACTAGTTAGTTAAACATCTTAATTCCCTCTCTAATTACCCACATTATATTGAGTTGTCAAAGATTCAGACATATTCATCCATCCATCTATCCATTCATCCATTCATCCGTCTATCCATCCATCCATCCATTCATTCATTCATTTGGTTGGTTAATTTATGTTTATTTTTATTGAAGAGGTGATTATAGTCAATGTCCTTTGAGAACTTGAACTTTTAAAATACTCTTGCACTTGTGATTGCAATAAAAAATCAGGAAAAGAATAAGATGTCAGTGAAAATAATTCTCTCACCTACAAAATTCTACTGACTTATAATCATCAGTTTTTATAGTATTGTGAGGTATAGACAAGATTCAGACCCCCATTTGCCAGCCCTGGGAAAAGGCCACCCACTGTGAAATCAGCAGTCTGAACTGAATTAACTAGAAATGTTAAATAGGCCATGCAACTACCTATACTAGAACATTAAAAATACCTTATGAAGTTAAACCATTTTAAATATGGATTTTCATTGATGAATACTGTAGATATGAAAACAGTTTTGATGAGACCTGAAAATGTATTAGACAGCATCCTAGAAATGACTCCTCTCAAGCACAAATGCATGTTAGAAGTGAAGTCAGTTTCCACTCCCCTGGAGCATTATGGATACATAATGATGTATCTATGCCTAGAGACATATATACATACATATTTGTCAGTCAAATACAAATGTATTTTCCTCTATTCAGAAGGGAATGTCAACCAGACAATATAGATGCATATGATTTCAAATAAACTTTATCATTCATGTTCCAGAAACACTGAGTTGCTTTGATTGAGCACATTGTATTGTTTTGTGCTTTTTTTGTTTAATTTTTCTCCAAAGTTCAAACAACATGAGTAATTAGATGTAGGTAAGTACATAAATGTAAGTTATTAAAATTATATGTGCATGTGTGAATGCGTGTTTTAACGTGCCCACTATCTGCATAAGCTGCACTAGATGGTGTGGCCAAGTACCATAATTCCTTGGTTTATACTGATCTCTAGTGGTTGGATTGTATAACACATTCAAACAATTTTTCTTTGCTTAAAATTTTGTTTAAGAGTTTTTTGTTTTGAAAAATTTGGTGTCCAAATTTTTAAATAAGTACATAATTTTCCTTATACTTTATTTTATAGTTTTTATATGCATGTCTCTCCTTAATGAAAAGGACCTGTGATTCATTCATCATTTAATTTCCCAAATGAAGGATATAACCTCACAGATAGTATTCTTACTGAAATAGTTGTGGGGTTGGCAAAACTGGAATAAATTCTGTACAATAGTCTCTCATCCCATTTCTCTTTCCATGTTTCAGGTACCATGATCAAACACAGTCTAAAAGCATTAAATGGAAAAATTCAAGAAATAGCAATTCAGATATGTTAAATTAGGTATAAATCTCAGTGAATCATCCTTTTGTTCAACATATACTCCCATGTGCATTGACTCCTGTTAGTCACTTGGTAGCTGTTTCATTAATTGACTTGCAATAAATATCTCAGTACTTGTGTTCAAAGAAGGCTTATTCTACTTAATAATGACCCTAAAGCAAAATAGTAATAATGTACTACTTCTTTTGAGTGAAAAGGTGAAGGGTCTCAATAAGAAAAGAAAAGTCACATACAGTGGTTCTATGATCTACGATCAATGTTAACAATGAATTTTCTATCTATAAAATTATAAAGAAGGAAAAAGAAATTTATGGTAGCTTTATTGTTATCCTCCAAACTGCAAAAATTACAGCTGCAAAGTAGGATAGGTATTTAATAACAATGAAAAAGGGGTTAAACATAGGGTTGAGGTACTATCTGTGCTTTGAGGCACACATTAAGGGTCTTATAACATGTTCTTCATAAAGATTTGTATTAGAGAATGATGAAATCCGAGGTTGGTTCAAACAACCAAGTGTTAAGTATGTATAAGGCAAAAGAACAATTCCATTTCAATTTCTTTTAACCCTCATAAAAAATTCCAATACATTATATATAATAAACCCCCACTTTAGAAATTCAGAAACTGAGTCTCAAGGTATCGAGCACATAAAATGTAAGTGGTAGTAAGAATGCAACCCAGCTCTACTTTACATTAAATTAGGGTATTTTCTTCTGTACAGTTCAGTTTTCCCACATTTCATACATGATATATAGTTTTAACTAATGAAAAAATAAGATATCCTACACTAGGCTTTACTTTTAATGTAACATGAACATTTTTGACATATAATAACTCTTCTATTATAGTCAACAGTGCCTACAGGATTCCTTGATTCTGTTACAATGCAACCATAAACGTAAGTAAATACTTTGTCACCTCCTTCAAGCCTTCAATTTAAAATTCCATTTAGAGTTTTATTTCACCTCAAGTTATCTTGTCATCATTCAATTTTTCATGGTCAAAATAAATAGTAAAGTAGATATTTTTTTCTTCAATTACTTTAATAGCATGTGGTAAAAGACTGGTGGTTCAAAAAGGCAATCCAAAAATTGTTGGAGGAAGTAATGCCAATGAAGGGGCCTGGCCCTGGGTTGTGGCACTGTATTATGGAAGCCAGCTGCTCTGTGGTGCAACTTTGGTCAGCAGTGAATGGCTGGTATCTGCTGCACACTGCGTGTATGGGTGAGTATGATGTCATGGGTCTTTTCTCTAACAAGGACCCTCTGCAGACACTGCAGAGTCTTTCATTTTGTGCAGTTTCATACCTACTAGGAAAATGTTATGAAAATTATAAGCTTTTCAATCATATTTACACTGAAGCCATATCCAAAAATAAAGTTCAATTAAAAGTCATTCTTCATTATACTTATATCAAGTAATATATCAAGTATTTTTACATACATAAAAATTAAAATTTTTACCTAGTCACAAGGTAAAACTGTTTTTTTTTTTTTTGAGATAGACTCTTGTTGTATAGCCTTAACTGGTTTCAGACTCACTGGGTGGCCCAGGGGTTCCTAGAACTCACCATTCTCTTCCCTCAGCTTCTCCAGTGCTGGGATTAGAACATTTTTAAGAGTATGGGATTGGTATTTATTTTATAAGTTGTACTTCTTACTGTTCAACTATATCAATATTTATTGTTGGCAAATTGGCAATACCAAAAAGCATGTGCCTAGAGAGCTCTCAAGTTACAAAGCTGTTGTATTATACAAGTTCATGTACAAGCACTGCACTGTGAATTAAAATGTTTATTAAGTTCTCATGCTAGATTTATTCTAGTGCTACATGAAACTAAAACTTAGGACTGATTTCCATTTCTAATTTTGTTTTGGTAGCAATATGGAGCAAAATGCATGCTGAATTCTAGGATTTACTGCCTCTCTCTAAAATCAGCCACTGCTCATTCAGTGCCACAGGAGAGAATGCAGTGAACAGAGAGGAGCAAGGGGAAAAGGAGACAGTAACTGAATCCAAGAACAAGTTGATTCCCTACTTCCATATGAGGGAAAGTCCCTCTTTAAGATAGTAACATTCAGGAGTTCTGAACCATTTCAAGAAAAAAGAGAAGTTTTCTCATAATATATTTGTGAGCCTAAGCTAGACTGATTTTCTGCCTCTGAGTATGCAAGGCCTCTAAAGAAGGGCCTTGTCTTGAGGACTAGGACAAGTCACCCTGTAGAATGACCTGTGTGTCTCTGACATGGAGGAGGCAAGTGCAATTCAGCAGGTGAAGACTTAAACTCTCCCTATCAACATAGAAAATGAAAGTTACAGGGAATATAAAGACAAATTGTCAGAGAAAGAGGGTTGTGAAAGTTTTAGGGGATATCAGGAGAAAAGGGAAAAAGAAGAATTAAAGGATTGAGAATATGCTCAAATACCCATGGCACTAGAAGAAGAAGAAACTTAAAAGCATAATCCTAGGAATCTGGAGAGATAGGATCCTTGGCCAGATCTCAGGTTGGTCAACAGGCTGGTCTACAGGGGAGCTATCCAAGCTATCATTGCATCTACATCTAAAACTCTGATACTATGCACTGGGTGCTGTATCTAGACACTAAATTATAGCCTCTCCCATGGTAAAAGTGCACTGTATTGACTTTGTTCCTCCTAAAAGGTACATTTTATCTGTTTTCAATCATACTGTAAGAAATATCTATGGTAATTGTTTCCCATCTCCTGCTCAACATGGCTTTAATCTTCACACATAGTTTTTGCCTTGAGCAAGTCTCAGATGGGTAACATCTATATCATAACTGTATTACAAATAAAGGATACTTTTAGGCACAGATTTTGTCTTTTTCTGTTGTACCTAGGTAGGTATTAGTAAGTTAACAATCTTGCAATATTAACCTGGGATTTAGTAAATTCCTCTGTTTGATGTTCTGGTAGGACATATGCTTTGTAAATGCCGGCCAGACTTGAAGTAGTGTTAGTGACTTCTTTTAATTATCTATCTTACAAATGTCTTTCAATAGGTTTTTTTTTATTATTATTCATATGTGCACACAGTGTTTGGGTCATTTCTCCCCCCGTCCCCCACCCCCTCCCTTTCCTCCCTGACCCCTCCCTTTCCCCCCAACCCCTCGCTACCCAGCAGAAACTATTTTGCCCTTATCTCTAATTTTGTTGAAGAGAGAGTATAAGCAATAATAGGAAGGAACAAGGGTTTTTGCTAGTTGAGATAAGGATAGCTATACAGGGAGTTGACTTGCACTGATTTCCTGTGCATGTGTGTTACCTTCTAGGTTAATTCTTCTTGATCTAACCTTTTCTCTAGTTCCTGGTCCCCTTCTCCTATTGGCCTCAGTTTCTTTAAGGTATCTGCTTTAGTTTCTCTGTGTTGAGGGCAACGAATGCTATCTAGTTTTTTAGGTGTCTTACCTATCCTCACCCCTCCCTTGTGTGTTCTCACTTTATCATGTGATCAAAGTCCAATCTCCTTGTTGTGTTTGCCCTTGATCTAATGTCTGCATATGATGAAGAACATACAAATTTTTGGTCTTTTGGGCCAGGCTAACCTCACTCAGAATGATGTTCTCCAATTCCATCCATTTACCAGTGAATGATAACATTTCGTTCTTCTTCATGGCTGCATAAAATTCCACTGTGTATAGATACCACATTTTCTTAATCCATTCGTCGGTAGTGGGGCATCTTGGCTGTTTCCATAACTTGGCTATTGTGAATAGTGCTGCAATAAACATGGGTATGCAGGTGCCTCTGGAGTAACCTGTGTCACAGACTTTTGGGTATATCCCCAAGAGTAGTATTGCTGGATCATATAGTAGATCAATGTTTAGCTTTTTAAATAGCCTCCATATTTTTTTACAGAGTGGTTGTACTAGTTTACATTCCCACCAGAAGTATAAGAGGGTTCCATTTTCCCCATATCCTCTCCAACACCTGTTGTGGTGGTGTTGCTGATGATGGCTATTCTAACAGGGTTGAGGTGGAATCTTAGCGTGGTTTTAATTTGCTAGAGATGGTGAGCATTTTTTCATGTGTTTTTTGGCCATTTGAATTTCTTCTTTTGAGAAAGTTCTGTTTAGTTCACTTGCCCATTTCTTTATTGGTTCATTAGTTTTGGGAGAATTTAGTTTTTTAAGTTCCCTATATATTCTGGTTATCAGTCCTTTGTCTGATGTGTAGCTGGCAAATATTTTCTCCCACTCTGTGGGTGTTCTCTTCAGTTTAGAGACCATTTCTTTTGATGAACAGAAGCTTTTTAGTTTTATGAAGTCCCATTTATCTATGCTATCTCTTAGTTGCTGTGCTGCTGGGGTTCCATTGAGAAAGTTCTTACCTATACCTACTAACTCCAGAGTATTTCCTACTCTTTCCTGTACCAACTTTAGAGTTTGGGGTCTGATATTAAGATCCTTGATCCATTTTGAGTTAATATTGGTATAGGGTGATATACATGGATCTAGTTTCAGTTTTTTGCAGACTGCTAACCAGTTTTCCCAGCAGTTTTTGTTGAAGAGGCTGCTTTTCTCCATCGTATATTTTTAGTCCTTTGTCAAAGACAAGTTGGTTATAGTTGTGTGGCTTCATATCTGGATCCTCTATTCTGTTCCACTGGTCTTCATGTCTGTTTTTGTGCCAGTACCATGCTGTTTTTATTGTTATTGCTTTGTAATATAGTTTGAAGTCAGGTATTGTGATACCTCCAGCATTGTTCTTTTGACTGAGTATTGCCTTGGCTATTCGTGGCCTCTTGTGTTTCCATATAAATTTAACGTAGATTTTTCAATCTCTTTAATGAATGTCATTGGAATTTTGATGGGAATTGCATTAAACATGTAGATTACTTTTGGGAGTATAGACATTTTTACTATGTTGATTCTACCAATCCATGAGCATGGGAGATCTCTCCACTTTCTATAGTCTTCCTCAATCTCTTTCTTCAGAAGTTTATAGTTTTCCTTGTAGAGGTCTTTCACATCTTTGTTAGGTTTACACCTAGGTATTTGATTTTTTTTGAGGCTATTGTAAATGGAATTGTTTTCATATATTCTTTCTCAGTTTGTTCATTATTAGTGTATAGAAATGCTAATGATTTTTCTATGTTGATTTTATATCCTGCTACCTTGCTATAGCTTTTGATGTGTCTAGTAGCTTTTGAGTAGCATTTTTTGGGTCTTTAAGGTATAGGATCATATCATCTGCAAATAGGGATATTTTGACAGTTTCTTTACCTATTTGTATTCCTTTTATTCCTTCTTCTTGCCTAATTGCTCTGGCTAGGAATTCCAGTACTATGTTGAATAGGAGTGGAGATAGTGGGCATCCTTGTCTAGTTCCTGATTTTAGAGGGAATGGTTTCAGTTTTTCTCCATTAAGTATAATGCTGGCTGTAGGTTTGTCATATATAGCTTTTATAATGTTGAGGTACTTTCCTTCTATTCCTAGTTTTCTTAGAGCTTTTATCATGAAATGGTGTTGGATCTTATCAAAGGCTTTTTCTGCATCTATTGAGATGATCAAGTGGTTTTTGTCTTTGCTTCTGTTAATGTGGTTTATTATGTTTATTGATTTTCGTATGTTGAACCACCCCTGCATTCCTGGGATGAAGCCTACTTGGTCGTGGTGAATGATCTTTTTGATTGTTGTTGAATTTGGTTTGCCATTATTTTATTGAGGATTTTTGCATCAATGTTCATTAAGGAGATTGGCCTATAGTTCTCCTTTTTGGAGGTGTCTTTGCCTGGTTTTGGGATAAGTATAATACTGGCTTCATAAAATGTTTTAGCCAGTTTTCCTACACTTTCTATTTTGTGGAACAGTTTAAGGAGGTTTGGTGTTAGTTCTTCTTTAAAGGTCTGATAGAATCCAGCAGAGAATCCATCGGGTCTGGCCTTTTCTTTTTAGGGAGACTCTTGATTGTTGCTTCAATTTCATTTTGTGTTATAGATCTATTCAGGGGATTAATTCCTCTTGGTTCAGTTTTGGATGATCATATGTATCTAGAAATCTTTCCATTTCTTTAAGATTTTTTAATTTATTTGAACATAGTTTCTCGAAGTAGTCTCTGATGATTTCCTGGACTTCCATGGTATTTGTTGTTATCTCCCCTTTTGCATTCCTGATTCTACTAATTTGGGTTTTTTCTCTCCTCAATTTAGTCAGGTTTGCCAGGGGTCTGTCGATCATTTTTATTTTTTCAAAGAACCAAC